GTCCAAGACCCTCTGTCTCTATGCGACTCACTGTAGGCTGTGACAACATGAGCAACAAAGAAGGATTGGGAGGGTTCAGGAAAAGGAAGCATGACCATTTTCCCCACAACCAGAGGAGAGAAAGGTAGGATATTAATGCATCGTCACCCGTGATGGTGGCCTTAAAAACATTTCAGCAGGAACTTGATGCAAGACATGACAAATATGAGAGACTTGTGAAACTTAGTCGGGATGTAACTGTACAAAGTAAATGATAATTTTCCTCTCTATAGGATTACAAGTGCTCCTGATATGGAGGAAATATTGACTGAGTCAGAAATTAAATTAGATGGTGTCAGACAAAAGATACTGCAGGTGGCCCAGGAGCTCTTCAGAGAAGAGATGCATTAATTCCATAGAGCCATTACCACAGGACTGACCACAGACTTCAGGAATATGTGGAGGCCGTCTCTTTTCAACACTTTATTAAAACACGATCACTTATCAGTATGGATGAAATTAATAAACAACTGGTATTTACAACAGAAGACAATGGGAAAGAAAATAAGGCTATGAGGAAACTGAGGTTTAGAGAGATGAAATAATTTGCCCAAGGACATACCCTTATGAAGCAAGGTCATGGAAGAGGTGGAAGGAGAGGTCAAGGTCATTTGGAAGAGTTAATCCCAAAACAAGAGGAGAGACAACTCATCATCTGAGACTGGAGGATAGAAGCCCTCTTCCGATGCTCAGTGCTCTCGATAAAGAGTTTGGTACTTGGAGACTGAAAACCACCCCTGTTGATTACCTCCTGGAAGTGGCTGATCTAACTGGTGAGTTGATGCTGATGTGTATGAACAGTGTGGGCAATGGGGACATTGACACCCCCTTTGAAGTGAGCCAGTTCTTACGCCAGGTTTATGCTGGGTTTTCATTCATTGGCAATACTGGACCTTATGAGGTTTCTAAGAAGCTGTATACCTTGAGACAGAGCCTGGCCAAAGTGGAGAATGCCTGTTATGCCTTGAAAGTCAGAGGCTCAGAAATTCCCAGACCAGTTTGTAAGACTAGTATTTGATATTTTATTTGACTTTATTGTGGCTTTTACATAGGAAATTTTCAGTTTTACTTGTTTTGAATTATATACAAGCTGTACGTAAAAGTATCAAATGAGTCATTTTCTGTGTCTTACTCATGACAGTTTGCATTCGAATGTTTACCTATATGCCTATTTGAATTTTTGCTGGCTAAATTCTATCATTGTCTCTGCAGTGTGAATGTGCCAGCACTTTTGCTACCTCTTTCACTTTACTTTGTGTGAATTTTGAGTAGTAGTAATTAGTAGAAGCCATTTATAATTGAAGTTGATGGTTTTGTAATATATAGAAAAGACTTTTTATTTATATACCTGGACTTGAGCTTTTTGTTAAATTTATTGGTAATATTGTGCCAAGTCTCCAAAATAGGCTTATTCCATAGAACAGAATTAAAACTACTAAGTTATCAATATACGTTAATGTTATGTGGCATTGTGATAATAATGCACATTATATTCTGACTAATTTAGGCCTCTTTGAAATAGCCTTCCGGAAAAATTGACAGATACCCAAATGTTAGTTTCTACATTTAACTTTTGTGCTTTATCACAGGAAGTCTGATAGAGAATTGGAATTAACATTGTAATATTTTTACTGGTGTTTGAGTTGAATTATATACTTGTACATACAACTGTAAAGCTTTTAGTAGTGATTAGTTAGCATTTTTTTTGTTGTCTCTTATATTGACATTAGGCATGTTTGGAGACTTTCCTATTTTAGCATCTATAAGAAATTACATTTAAATAATTATAATGAAGTTTTGAAATTTTTGCAATACTGAGTTAGCCCAAACCTTTTTTATAGTTGTCTAAATGTCCATTTGTGTTAATTGATAGTATAAAAAGTTGCCAAAGAAAACTTATCCTGTACAATTCAGCAATAAGATAATTGTCAACACAGTTAGGAACAACAATGGTAGTTTCTAGTTATATATATATTAGATGTACCAGTTAACAATGGGGGATTTTGTAATCAAAGAAAACACAATAATTTCAAGAGAAACATCAAAACTGCTTCATTCAAAGTAATGTCCATTGCTAGCTACACATTTCCCCCATCTTTCAGGTAATTTGTGGATACCGTCCCAATAGAACTTTTCTTGTTTTGTGGCAAACCATTCAGAGACCCAATTTTTCACTTCTTCGTACATTTTGAAGTGCTGCTCAGAAAGTGCGTGTGCCATCGATTGAAGAAACAAGTGATCTGAAGGAGCAAGGTCTGGTGAATACAACGGGTGATTAATACTTCCCAGGCAAGATCTCTTAACGTGTCTTTAACTGGTTTGGAAGTGTGTGATGGTGCATTATCATGAAGCAAAATTACTTATCTGTGTCTTCTGGTGCATTCTGGTCATTTCACTATCAAAGCATGGTTCAAATTGATTATTTGTTGTCGGTAGCCATCAGTAATAATGGTTTCACGTGGTTTTAGAAGCTCATAATACACCACACCTTCGTGATCTAAGCAAATGCAGAGCATTGTCTTCTTTCCGAAGGGATTTGGCCTTGCAGTAGATGTTGATGGTTGACCTGGATCAACCCATGATTTTGTGCATTTGGGATTCTTAAAACAAATCCACTTTTCGTCGCCAGTCATAATTTGATGCAAAAAATACTTTCTTTCATGCCGTTGAAGCAACATTTTACTGATGACTTTTCAGTTTTCCATTTGTCTTTTTTTAGTTGATGTGGCACCCATTTTCCTTCCTTTAAAATCTTTCCCGTTGATGGTAAATGATCAGAAATTGTTTGCTAAGCAACGTTTAGTCTTTCTGCAAGTTGTTTTTGAGTTTGACACGCATCTTCATCCAATAATGCTTGTAATTGTTGGTTTTCAAACTTTTTCGGTAGACCTGGACGTTCTTTGTCTTTCATATTGAAATTATCACTTTTAAAGCGTTTAAATCAGCATTCACAAGTATCTTGAGATGGAGCATGTTCGCCATAAGCTTCCTGAAATATACAATAACTTTTTTTCAAAATAAAGTAATGAATTAAAACTTCCCGCAAATGCTCTTTATTTTTGGCACGGAATTCAACAATTTTAAGAGTAAAAATATCTATGATGTTAACACCTTCAGCAAATTTGACATATGAAGTTTTTAAGCTTGCTGTCAATACAACAAAATAGCATACATATGAAATCGCATTTATATCAACATATGTGTAACTCCATCTATTGAAAAAAATCCGCATTATTAACTGGTACACCTAGTATATTTGACATATGTGAATATTTATTTAGAATAACAGAAATCACAAATTACAAATTTTATATCTTGACAATTAGCACAGATATTTCAAAATCCAGAAAAACAACATTCTAGTTTTATTAACAGCTTGACATATCTCTATATTGCCTTTTTTACATATTTGGGGGTAGGGGAGTGTAAATGTCTTTGTAATGATTTTGTAGTCTTTTTAAAAAAGCATTTTTATTGATTTCAGAGAGGAAGGGAGAGGCAGAAACATCAATGAGGAGAGAAAATCATTGATCAGCTACCTCCTGCACACCCACTACTGGGAATCAAGCCCACAACCCAGCGGGTGCTCTTGGCTGGAATCGAACCCTGAACCCTTAGGTCCACAGGCTGACACTCTATACACTGAGCTAAACTGGCTAGGGCACTTCTTATGTCTACAAAACCTGCCTGCCTTGGTGAAAACTGTAGGGGAAACGGCCTTTCTGGGTGGGCTCCAGGGCGGGTGACACGCGAACTCATTTTTTTGGTTGATTTTTCTTTGTTAAATGGC